TACTATTAATTCTGAATATATATATATATATATATATACTATTATCCTCAAAATATTTCTAACATGCTTCATGAATATAAGTCATAATGATAATTTCATGAGAAACCAAAAACTTAGATTCTATTTTATATACAACATGCTATATTGGAGGCTTAAAATACTCTGAGTAACCTTTTTAAACTTCATTTAACACTATTTTTAAAACTTACTAACAAAGTTATCCAACCAAGCCTCTAGGTCCACATATTTAGTCCCTTTCACTAGATTCTTCTCTCTCTCTCTTTTTTTATATCTCGTGTAACCAGCTGCTTTTTTCTTATTATTTTTCATTTTTATCTCTAAAAACCATAACTGGTCCACAGTATCTGCAGTATTCCTATATGCCAAGTTTTTCTCTCCCTCTCAACTTTTCCTACAGTTTCTTGTTGAGGTAACAATTGAAACCTTTTGCAAACATTGGAAAAAAGCCATCTTCCTCCAGTCCTAAAACACTTATCAGATGGAAACTCAAATTGTCCTTTTGTCCACAGGCCTTTTGTTGGCATCCTCTCATTCAAAACTACAACCTTACTATCCATCCTCCAAACATACATCGTTCTTATACATTTCCAAAACCACAGTCATAGGTTGGGTTTTCTAGAGAAGCAAAACCAATGAAATATATATATATAAAGAAGTTTATTATATTATCCTACAATTGTAGAATCCCAGGTCTCCAGTGGAAGAGAGAGCGTCCCTCCCACATGGGCATTATATTTGGAGCTGGCCGCTCCCCCAAGGAAGCAATCCCTTTAATTGATTGGCTACTCATAGCCAATCATCACAGAGTTAATTATGCCTGTATTAGGCCACATTATCATGGGAATAAGCACATCTCAACTGCTAAGCCTCTGGAAATCCTGGCCTAGTCAAGTTAATACAAAACCCTAACCATTACACACACGTATGATTTCTCCCTACCTAAGGTGCTCAGGTAGCATAGTGGTTACGAATCGGGCAGCGAACCGTTAGGTCAGCAGTTCG